AAAAAAAAAAAAAAAAAAAATAAAATAAAATAAAATAAAAAATCTACTACTACTGCTATCACATATCAAAATTTAATCTGACTGTGTAATATTTTCTCGGAAGCCTTGAAGCAAGAGTAAAATTATTTCTGTGTGTTTGTATTAGGGTAGACTGTCAATATCACACCGTTTGGGTGCGGCCCTACCTTGAACCGTGAGTAAATACGAGATACCTTGTGCCAGAGACGAAGCTAGAGTGCCGGAAGCGGATTCAGTCGAACCCATTAGCTTTGATTCGAATTTTATATTTATCTTAAAAGATTCATTGAATATGTATAAATTATTAATTTAGATATCATTAACTTAAAATGATTAAAGTTCTGAACCCATAATTTTAAAATCCTGGCCCCGCCTCTGCCTTGAACTTCACCCTTCAATATTTATTTACTGTTAGTGTATACAAGTAACTCATTTCTTTACCTTTCAAAATTGTTTGCAGGTGGTCTAAAATTGCCTCTCATTTACCTGGACGAACTGATAATGAAATCAAGAATCATTGGAATACACATATCAAGAAAAAATTGAGGAAAATGGGGATTGATCCGGTCACTCACAAGCCACTCTCTACAAACATAGAACAGCCAGAAAATCTGCCAATTCAACAAGAAAAAGTACAAGAAATAATGCCACCTTGCACAGTAAATTATGTTTCAATTGATCAGTCAGCTATTACAGAGATCAAACTAGACGACGACAAGATGGGGACAAGTAGTATAAATAATAACAATAACTTTGACTCAACTATAGTGCATGAAGTCAACAATAATGGCTTTTGTACTGATGAAGTTCCATTGATTGAACCCCATGAGATTTTAGTCCCTTCTAAATCAACCCCATCAACATCATCTTCTTCTTCTTCATCTTCATCATCCAACATAATTGAAGACTTAAAGTTTTTGCCAAGTTTTGATGATTGGCCAATGGGAAATGACATGGGATTTGGATGGGAAAATGATTTCAGCAGCACATTGGATTTCTTGCTTAATGATGATAATGACATGAATAATGTCACATATGATGAATCTTGGAAGTTTGAGCAACTCTTGTGATATAAGTTTCGTTGCGCGGAGTTTAATTAAAAGCTTTTGTTTCTTTTGATTGGCCAAGTTCGTGTCACTTCCTTTTTTTGTTCTAACTTTTGTTGTCAATAGTAGTTTAGATGTTACATGCAGTTAAGTGGAATAAAAAGTCAAAAAGTATGGGGACAAAACATAAAAGCCCCATATCAAATATTTGTTTAATTTTACTTTTGCTGTTAAAAACTGTTTGTTCTAATGCACAAATCAGATTAAATTTGCCTGTAAGTGAATGCATTTGCAAAGTTATAATATTGTGGTCATGCAAGAGATAGTTCCTTGTATTATCTATTGATTTTTATTTTTATTTTTTTTGGTTTAACCATCCAATATCTAAAACCTACATATCTTATTAATTTGAATTTGCGTCGTGTAGAGCTCATTAAAGAGCGAAGTAACTCTATCAGAAATTTCTCTATTAATTTGCCATTCAAACTCGAGACCTCTGGAGAGATGTATGATGTTATTTCCTACAATCACTCCGTTGACTATCATATATACTTCTATAGCACTGATAATAGTTTAACTTGTACATTTTTTTATTTCAATTTTAGCTCAACTTCTACGTTTTTTGTTTTCAATTGCAGCTTTGTCTGTAATCCATCACAAGATATCAACAACGACGTCCTAGATGATAGGACTAGATTTTTGACATTTTCTTTCATTGGACATAAACAAATAGAGAAGAAAGTAAGTCAAGAAGTTATACAAATAGTAGATGCTAAAATATTCTCATTATTCAAGAGGGGAGAAAAGACAATTTCGTTTAACATTTCGATAAAAAGCCGATTCAAAATCAATTTGAAATTTATGAGTTCTAAAGTTTATTACATATACATATTCAGAGTGAATTTCTCAGTAACTATACAGGATTTAGACCAACCCTGTATAATTACATTAAATCGTACTTTTTATGCTAGCTCCACCCTGATTTTACGAAGTTCAGGCAACGTCCTTTATAAATTTTAGTGGAGGCATGCAATGAGTAGTTGATAATGCTAGTATTTTCTATTGTCTTGGACAAATAGAACATATATATATATATATATATATATATATATTATACAGTCAAAATCGGGCTTGCCTAATTTCTTATGACTGATCTAGACCGGGGTGACAGACCAAAGGTCTGACCTCACATTGTATCGAGCCACAGCGCGAAGATGGATTGCAGAGTTCATGAACCAATGACCGATCGAGATCGAGACCAGTCGAGATCGAAACCGAAGCGGGATAAAGATCGAGCGAGATCGAAGGAAGCCTGCTAAGTCGAGTAACAGAAAGTCGAGATATTCGTGATCGAGCAAGGATCGTGGCGGAAATCTCGGCACGTATCAAGTCAGCCAATCATGGGATTTCCTTCTGTATTTAGAATTGTACCATAAGTAGAATTCCTCTACTATATAAAGGGGGATTCTAATCATTTGTAATCATCACATTCACGCATAACAAAGCGATATAATATATTTTCTCTTTTAAGCTCTCTTATTCTGCTATTCAGTTCATCCTTTTCAATTATACATTCATTTGGTTCGAGGGCGATCCAGCTCGAGGGTCAAACTGCATTTCATATCAGTTTGCTTTATTTCACAGTCAATTTCGAACATTAATTCTCATATTCATTAATTTGTGCCAAGTGAAATCACATATCCTTAAAACCACCTATAAATTTAATTGTTATCCAATTTTAAGGATAAACAGTTTGGCGCCCACCTTGGGGCTAAGGATAATAGTAATTGCCTGGTACTAATTCTTATAACACACACTGCTTTACGCTTGTTTTTGTAAGTATTTTTGATCTCAGGATCAGCATGTCGAACTCTCAAGCAGTACCCACACACGCCGATAATGGCCTTGGTTTTCATGGAGAAAACGAAAACATAGCCGCCCTAGGGAACGAAGTATCTCAGGCTGACCTCGAGGGAGTACCGGTTGTAGACCCCATCGACGCCAGTTCCCATGTTACCCTGAACGCAAATCTGGGCGTAGACCCCAAAAATAGCGTCCGCATAGACGTTCGATCAGCCGGTCAGAATACACAGGGCGGCGAAGACGGCGAGTCAGCCTTCGATTAATATCTGAAATATTGCAAGCTCAACAAGTTGCCATATCGCAACTCCAAAATCAGAACCACGTACCGAGTAGGGCCGAACCCGGGCCCTCACTGAAAGTTGTTCACAGGGCCGAACCAGTATCGGAGAGGTAAAATGTGAATGAATCGGGGACTGACCCCTCTATTATGAAAATGCTCAAGGAACTCATAAAGCTAATTGAATTAGGGGAAAAGAAGATTGAAGCAACTGACAAAAAAGTAAAAACGTATAACTCCTGAGTTGATCAAATTTTGGGGCACCACCGATTCTGAAGGGTTTGGATTCGAAGATGTTCGTGCAAAAGCCTTTCTCCCCAAGAGCAGCTCCTAAGCCCATCTCAAAGAAATTTCGCATGCCAGAAATTCCCAAGTAAAATGGAACTACCGACCCCAATGGGCATGTCATTTCTTACACATGCACAATAAAGGGGAATGATTTAGAGGATGATGAGATTGAGTCCGTTCTGCTGAGGAATTTTGAAGAAACCTTATCGAAGGGGGCGATGATATGGTACCATAATTTGCCGCCCAACTCTATTGATTCCTTTGTCATGCTCGCAGATTCCTTCGTCAAAGCACACGCCGGAGCCTTTAAGGTCAAGACTAGAAAGTCGGACCTCTTCAAAGTGAAGGAGAAAGACAATGAGATGCTCAGAGAATTCGTATCTCGGTTCCAAATGGAACGTATGGACCTATCCCTGGTCGCAGATGATTGGGCCGTTCAGGCTTTTACTCAAGGGCTAAACATACGAAGTTCGGTGGCCTCACGACAGTTAAATTAGAATTTGATCGAATACCTAGCTGTAACCTGGGCCGATGTGCACAATCGGTACCAGTCAAAAATCAGGGTTGAGGATGATCAGTTGGGAGCTCCTTCCGGGCCCGTTTATCCAAACAGGCCCGTCGGCAGAATTCAAAGGGATATTGATAGAGAACCACGATCGAACAGATATCGGTATCAACCATACGGTGGAGATCATAGAAACAACGGTTCTGGACGCAACCCCGTTCGAAGTGATCAAAGAAATGATCGAGGACAGAGCTCCCGAGGGCTCATGAGTAAGAATGGTTTTGACAGAAATGTCGAGCCCAAAGAAGCACCACGACTATCGGAGTACAACTTCAGCGTTGATGCATCAGCTATTGTATCAGACATCAGGCGGATCAAAGACACCAGGTGGCCCCGACCCCTACATACTGATCTGGCCCAGAGAAATCCTAATCAAATGTGGAAATATCATGGCACTCATGGTCATAGAACAGAAGACTGCAGACAGTTGAGGGAGGAGGTAGCCCGTTTGTTCAACGAAGGGCACCTTCGAGAATTCTTAAGTGATCGGGCTAAGAACCACTTCAAAAACAGAGATTCAAACAGACAGAATGAGCAAGAAGATCCATAACACGTGATCCACATGATTGTTGGAGGGGTCGATATTCCTCAGGGGCCCGTATTCAAATGCACCAAGGTGTCGATCACGAGGAAAAAGTGGACTCGAGACTATGTACTGGAAGGGACCTTGTCTTTCAATGACGAGGATGCAGAGGGGATCTCACAACCCCACAATGACGCACTGGTAATATATGTTCTTATGAATAAGATTCAAGTTAAACGTGTTTTGATTGATCTAGGTAGCTCGGCCAATATTATTCGATCGAGGGTCATAAAACAGCTCGGCCTACAAGATCAAATTGTGCCTGCAGCCCGAGTACTTAACGGCTTCAACATGGCAAGTGAAACTACCAAAGGTGAAATTACTTTACCAGTGAACATGGGTGGGACCATCCAAGAAACAAAGTTCCATGTGATCGAAGGTGACATGAGGTACAACGCCCTGCTTGGAAGGCCTTGGATCCATAACATGAGGGCAGTACCCTCGACCCTTCACCAAGTTCTGAAGTTCCCGACATCGGAGGGAGTCAAAATAGTATACTGGGAGCAACCCACTGCCAAGGAGATGTTTGCAGTCGATGAAGTGATACCGGTATCGGCACTCTCATCAGCAAAGGTATCAGAGTTGAAGGGAAAGTAGGAGGCCAAATAGCAACCATAGACACCGGCCTTGACCCAATTGCAGGAGCAAGGGATCAACGAGGATGATGACTACTGGATCCCTCGATCCTTCATAATTCCTGATGACTTTGACGCCACTAAGTCAACGGTCGAAGAGCTAGAACAACTCACGTTGACCGACCATCAGCCCGAACGAAAGGTATACCTGGGCACGGGGCTAACCCCCGAACTCAGGAACAAACTTATTCATTTCCTTAAAGCTAACATGGATTGCTTTGCCTGGTCCCATCTCGATATGACAGGGATCCCACCAGAAATCACTACCCATCGATTAAGCCTGGGCCCGAAGTTCCGTCTGGTAAAGCAAAAAAGAAGGACCCAGTCCGAGGTTAAACACGCATTCATCAAGGACGAGGTAACCAAACTTCTCAAAATAGGGTCCATTCGGGAAGTAAAATATCCCGAGTGGTTAGCAAACGTAGTAGTAGACCCTAAGAAGAGAAATAAACTTAGAATGTGCGTAGATTATAAAGACTTAAACAAAGTGTGTCCTAGCAAACTTAGAATGCCTAATATCGATCGTATGATCGATGACACGGCCGGCCACGAGATTCTCAATTTTCTCGATGCCTACTCCGGGTACAACCAAATACAGATGAACCCGGAGGATTAGAAAAAGACCTAGTTTATCACTAAATATGGCACCTACTGTTATAATATATTCGGACTAAAAAATGATGGTGTAAATTATCAATGCCTAGTGAACCGAATGTTCGAAGAACAAATAGAAAAATCAATGAAAGTTTATATTGATGACGTGTTAGTTAAGTCCCTGCGAGCAGAGGACCATTTAAAACACTTGCAGGAAACTTTCGATATACTGAGAAAGTACAATATGAAGCTCAACCTAGAAAAGTGCGCCTT